CGTTGCTTCCAGAGACAGTTTGGAACTCGGCAGTGAGTGTTGCTACGCGCTTCAGCACTCGGCGGTCCCGATCCCGTTCTGTTAGCTTGTGTGGTCTACCACTTCGCGGCTGAGCAGTTGTTGCTCCTAGACGTTTCCACTTCATAATATCAGTACTTACAGTTGACCAGGGCAGCTCTAGCAGGGCAGAAATTTGATGAACTGACTAGTTGGAAAGCTGGCATCCTATGACAGTGCCACATTGAAAGTCACTGAGCTCTTCAGTACGGCCATTCTACTGCCAATGTTTGTCTATGGAGATTGCATGGCTGTGTGCTCGATTTTCTACACCTGTCAGCAACGGGTGTGGCTGAAATAGCCAAATCCACTAATTTGAAGGGGTGTCCACATATTGCTGTATGTACAGTTTACCTGCTACTACAGGGATACCTGCTACCTCATAGGATACCTGCTACCTCATAGGATACCTGCTACCTCATAGGATACCTGCTACCTCATAGGATACCTGATACTTTATAGGATACCTGATACCTCATAGGATACCTGCTTCCTTACATGATACCTGCTACCTGCTACCTCATAGGATACCTGCTACTTTATAGGATACCTGATACCTCATAGGATACCTGCTTCCTTACATGATACCTGCTACCTGCTACCTCATAGGATACCTGCTACTTTATAGGATACCTGCTACCTCATAGGATACCTGCTTCCTTACATGATACCTGCTACTACAGGGATACCTGCTACCTTATAGGATACCTGCTACTTTATAGGATACCTGCTACCTTCTAGGATCCTGCTACAACAGAGACACTTCGAATCAAATAAAATTTGGTCACATAAACATATTTAGCAGATGTTATTGCGCGTGTAGCGAAGTGCTTGTGTTCCTAGCTCCAACAGTGCAGTAGTATCTAACAATTCACAACAATACACACATCTCAAATTAAAATAACGGAATTAAGAAATATATATATATATATATATATATATATATATATATTAGGACAAGCAATAATAACTGTTATGACTATAATACACTATTACTATATGACTAGAATACAGTATATACATATGAGATGAGTAAATCAGTATGTAAACATTATTAAAGTGACCAGTGATTCCATGTCTATGTACATAGGGCAGCAGCCTCTAAGGTGCAGGGTTGAGTAACCGGGTGGTAGCCGGCTAGTGACGGTGACTAAGTTCAGGCCAGGGTACTGGGTGGATGCCGGCTAGTGATGGCTATTTAACGGTCTGATGGCCTTGAGATAGAAGCTGTTTTTCATTCTCTAGGTCCCAGCTTTGATGCACCTGTACTGACCTCGCCTTCTGGATGATAGCGGGGTGAACAGGCAGTGGCTCGGGTGGTTGATGTCCTTGATCTTTTTGGCCTTCCTGTGACATCGGGTGCTGTATGTGTCTTGGAGGGCGGGTAGTTTGTCCCCGGTAATGCGTTGGGCAGACCGCACCACCCTCTGGAGAGCCCTGCGGTTGTGGGCGGTGCAGTTGCCGTACCAGGCTGTGATGCAGCCCAACAGGATGCTCTCAATTGTGCAGCTGTAAACGTTTGTGAGGGGTTTAGGGGCCAAGCCAAATTTCTTCAGCCTCCTGAGGTTGAAGAGGCTCTGTTGCGCCTTCTTCACCACACTGTCTGCGTGGGTGGACCATTTCAGATTGTCATTGATATGTACGCAGAGGAACTTGAAGCTTTTCACCTTCTCCACTGTGGTCCCGTCGATGTGGATAGGGGGGTGCTCCCTCTGCTGTCTCCTGAAGTCCACGACCAACTCTTTCTTTTTGTTGACATTGAGGGAGAGGTTATTTTCCTGGCACTTCTCCGCCAGGGACCTCACCTCCTCCTACTTGCTACCTTTTATAGGATACCTGCTGCTACAGACATGAAATAAAATAAAATCTTATTTGTCACATGGCCAAATACAACAGGTTTACTTACAAGCCCTTAACCAACAATGCAGTTCAAGAAATAGAGTTAAGAAAATAATTGCTAACTAAAGTAAAGTAAAAAAAAAAAAAATTTAACACAATAAGATTACATAACAATAAACAAGGCTATATACATGATACAATAAAATACACAATAAAGAATATATATACAGGGGGTACCGGTACCGAGTCAGTGTGCTGGGGTACAGGTTAGTCGAGGTAATTTGTACATGTAGGTAGGGGTAAAGTGACTATGTATAGATAATAGACAGCGAGTAGCAGCAGTGTAAAAACAAAGGGGGGGTAAAAAAACTGTTTTGATTAATTGTTCAGCAGTCTAATGGCTTGGGGGTAGAAGCTGTTAAGGAGCCTTTTGGACCTAGACTTGGCGCTCCGGTACCGCTTGCCGTGCGGTAGCAGAGAGAACAGTCTATGACTTTGGTGACTGGAGTCTTTGACAATTTTTAGGGCCTTCCTCTGACACCGCCTGGTATAGAGGTCCTGGATGGCTGGAAGCTTGGCCCCAGTGATGTACTGGGCCGTACGCACTACCCTCTGTAGTGCCTTGCGGTCGGATGCCGAGCAGTTGCCATACCAGGCGGTGATGCAACCGGTCAGGATGCTCTCGATGGTGCAGCTGTAGAACCTTTTGAGGATCTGCGGACCCATGCCAAATCTTTTCAGTCTCCTGAGGGGGAAAAGGTGTTCTCGTGCCCTCTTCACGACTGTCTTGGTGTGTTTGGACCATGATAGTTTGTTGGTGATGTGGACACCAAGGAACTTTAAGCTCTCAACCTGTTCCACTACAGCCCCGTCGATGAGAATGGGGGCCTGTTCGGCCCTCCTTTTCCTGTAGTCCACGATCATCTCCTTTGTCTTGCTCACATTGAGGGAGAGGTAGTTGTCCTGGCACCACTCTGCCAGGTCTCTGACCTCCTCCCTATAGGCTGTCTCATCGTTGTCAGTGATCAGGCCTACCACTGTTGTATCGTCAGCAAACTTAATGATGGTGTTGGAGTCGTGCTTGGCCACGCAGTCGTGGGTGAACAGGGAGTACATAGCTTCTACCTTATTGGATACCTGCTACTTTATACCACCACAGAGATATCTGCTACCTTATAGGATCACAGCTTGATGTTTTATAACCTGCTACCTTATAGGATCACAGCTTGATGTTTTATAACCTGCTACCTTATAGGATCACAGCTTGATGTTTTATAACCTGCTACCTTATAGGATCACAGCTTGATGTTTTATAACCTGCTACCTTATAGGATCACAGCTTGATGTTTTATAACCTGCTACCTTATAGGATCACAGCTTGATGTTTTATAACCTGCTACCTTATAGGATCACAGCTTTATGTTTTATAACCTGCTACCTTTATAGGATCACAGATTGATGTTTTATAACCTGCTACCTTTATAGGATCACAGCTTGATGTTTTATAACCTGCTACCTTATAGGATCACAGCTTGATGTTTTATAACCTGCTACCTTATAGGATCACAGCTTGATGTTTTATAACCTGCTACCTTATAGGATCACAGCTTGATGTTTTATAACCTGCTACCTTTATAGGATCACAGCTTGATGTTTTATAACCTGCTACCTTATAGGATCACAGCTTGATGTTTTATAACCTGCTACCTTATAGGATCACAGCTTGATGTTTTATAACCTGCTACCTTATAGGATCACAGCTTGATGTTTTATAACCTGCTACCTTATAGGATCACAGCTTGATGTTTTATAACCTGCTACCTTATAGGATCACAGCTTGATGTTTTATAACCTGCTACCTTATAGGATCACAGCTTTATGTTTTATAACCTGCTACCTTTATAGGATCACAGATTGATGTTTTATAACCTGCTACCTTTATAGGATCACAGCTTGATGTTTTATAACCTGCTACCTTATAGGATCACAGCTTGATGTTTTATAACCTGCTACCTTATAGGATCACAGCTTGATGTTTTATAACCTGCTACCTTATAGGATCACAGCTTGATGTTTTATAACCTGCTACCTTATAGGATCACAGCTTTATGTTTTATAACCTGCTACCTTTATAGGATCACAGCTTGATGTTTTATAACCTGCTACCTTATAGGATCACAGCTTGATGTTTTATAACCTGCTACCTTATAGGATCACAGCTTGATGTTTTATAACCTGCTACCTTATAGGATCACAGCTTTATGTTTTATAACCTGCTACCTTTATAGGATCACAGCTTTATGTTTTATAACCTGCTACCTTTATAGGATCACAGCTTTATGTTTTATAACCTGCTACCTTATAGGATCACAGCTTTATGTTTTATAACCTGCTACCTTTATAGGATCACAGCTTTATGTTTTATAACCTGCTACCTTTATAGGATCACAGCTTGATGTTTTACAACCTGCTACCTTTATAGGATCACAGCTTGATGTTTTATAACCTGCTACCTTATAGGATCACAGCTTTATGTTTTATAACCTGCTACCTTTATAGGATCACAGCTTTATGTTTTATAACCTGCTACCTTTATATGATCACAGATTGATGTTTTATAACCTGCTACCTTTATATGATCACAGATTGATGTTTTATAACCTGCTACCTTTATAGGATCACAGCTTGATGTTTTATAACCTGCTACCTTTATATGATCACAGATTGATGTTTTATAACCTGCTACCTTTATAGGATCACAGCTTGATGTTTTATAACCTGCTACCTTATAGGATCACAGCTTTATGTTTTATAACCTGCTACCTTATAGGATCACAGCTTGATGTTTTATAACCTGCTACCTTTATAGGATCACAGCTTTATGTTTTATAACCTGCTACCTTTATAGGATCACAGCTTTATGTTTTATAACCTGCTACCTTTATATGATCACAGATTGATGTTTTATAACCTGCTACCTTATAGAATAACAGTCTGTTGTCTATTCCAGATCAGTACTACAGGGCCGTAGTTGCACACTGGGTGGACCACCTGTCTGTCATTCCCTTTGCCTTGTAGAAGAACCACATTACCCAGGAGCCATCATGGGCAGGACTTCACTCAAAGGTAAGGAAACATGAGCATGGACACTGCAGCCTGCTTATTTAGTGTGCCATTGGATTTCATTACTGTATCACCTGGTACACAAATGGCCAGAATTCTTTCCTCATTTTCCAGCAGTCTTAGTGTTCGGACAATAGTAGTGTTTGTAACGCAAGATGGAGGACAGCCGTATTTCTTCAGAGATCACATTTATTTTGGGAAATTGACAGGAGAAGACAGGAGAACCATTGTTTTAGGTGATAATAAAACATGTTGAGTTGCTTTTTCCTAAACTTGCTTCTCTTACTTTCTAGCAAGTCAAGATAACTTCCACAGAGCAGCTAACGTTAGCTGGTAACTTCCACAGAGCAGCTAACGTTAGCTGGTAACTTCCACAGAGCAGCTAACGTTAGCTGGTAACTTCCACAGAGCAGCTAACGTTAGCTGGTAACTTCCACAGAGCAGCTAACGTTAGCTGGTAACTTCCACAGAGCAGCTAACGTTAGCTGGTGACTTCCACAGAGCAGCTAACGTTAGCTGGTGACTTCCACAGAGCAGCTAACGTTAGCTGGTGACTTCCACAGAGCAGCTAACGTTAGCTGGTGACTTCCACAGAGCAGCTAACGTTAGCTGGTGACTTCCACAGAGCAGCTAACGTTAGCTGGTGACTTCCACAGAGCAGCTAACGTTAGCTGGTGACTTCCACAGAGCAGCTAACGTTAGCTGGTGACTTCCACAGAGCAGCTAACGTTAGCTGGTGACTTCCACAGAGCAGCTAACGTTAGCTGGTGACTTCCACAGAGCAGCTAACGTTAGCTGGTGACTTCCACAGAGCAGCTAACGTTAGCTGCATCATACTACTCAGTCAGTCACAATTTACCCATGATACATCACGATTTTGAAGCTCTGGAACACGGCCTAATGCTGTGTTCATAACCAAGTGGGAAGGTGATCATTTCCAGTTGTGAAGTAGAAATATGAGGTGGATGCATTCACGTGCATTAAACTCGTTGAGAAATGCAGAATGGCTAATGGCAACAAGCTGAGGTCAGCATGTGAGAGAAGTCGGAGCTCAGGGATGATAGACGAGTTTCCAACTAGTAATTACCACTTGGAGGGCCGTTCAAGTGGATATTTCTGTCATGTGGTAAATACTACCTTCCCACTTGGTTATGAACACGGGCGGGGTCAGTGTTGATGTGTTTGTGTTTTCAGATCAGATGGAGCAAGCAGGAAGACTCCTTCCTCCAGGTCCTTCTCCTGCTAAAGGTAACGTTAGACTCCTAGTAGAGATGACCGCTAGCTTTTACCATTTTAAAAGTTTGAACGTGTTGTTCAAACTTTTATCTAACTGCAAAGTAACTTTGATTTATTAAATAAAATGTTCTGTGTCTATTTTGTACTCCTGTTACATCAATATATACATGTAGGTCTGTCAGGACTATTAACCCTTTCTTGTTTCTGTCTCAGAGTCGTTCAGTTGGGAGGAGTACCTGAAGGAAACATCGTCTACCCCGGCTCCCCCTAGCTTCTTCAGGCAGGTATGTGTCCATCTCCCCCGGCTCCCCCTAGCTTCTTCAGACAGGTATGTGTCCATCTCCCCCGGCCAGGTATGTGTCCATCTACCCCGGCCAGGTATGTGTCCATCTCCCCCGGCTCCCCCTAGCTTCTTCAGACAGGTATGTGTCCATCTCCCCCGGCTCCCCCTAGCTTCTTCAGACAGGTATGTGTCCATCTACCCCCGGCTCCCCCTAGCTTCTTCAGACAGGTATGTGTCCAGTGACAGCAGAGAAAGCTAAGTGACAGTACGGTGTCTCTCTCCAGTCCAGAGTCCCTCCCTCCAATGACTTCAAGGTGGGGATGAAGCTGGAAGTCCATGACCCTCGGAACTCCACCTCGGTGTGCATCGCCACGGTGATGGGCATGACGGGTGTGCGGCTGCGTCTCCGTCTGGATGGCAGTGACAACACCAATGACTTCTGGAGGCTGGTCGACTCCTCAGACATCCAGCCTATAGGAACCTGTGAAAAGAATGGGGACATGCTGCAGCCGCCACTGGGTACGTTAACCATAACCCTACCCATAACCCACTGGGTACGTTAACCCTAACCATAACCCACTGGGTACGTTAACCATAACCCTAACCATAACCCTACCCTAACCCACTGGGTACGTTAACCATAACCCTAACCATAACCCACTGGGTACGTTAACCATAACCCTAACCATAACCCACTGGGTACGTTAACCATAACCATAACCCACTGGGTACGTTAACCATAACCCTACCCATAACCATAACCCTACCCTAACCCACTGGGTACGTTAACCCTAACCCTAACCATAACCCACTGGGTACGTTAACCATAACCATAACCCACTGGGTACGTTAACCATAACCATAACCCTAACCATAACCCACTGGGTACGTTAACCATAACCATAACCATAACCATAACCCACTGGGTACGTTAACCCTAACCATAACCCTACCCTAACCCACTGGGTACGTTAACCATAACCATAACCCTAACCATAACCCACTGGGTACGTTAACCATAACCATAACCCACTGGGTACGTTAACCCTAACCATAACCCTAACCATAACCCTACCCTAACCCACTGGGTACGTTAACCATAACCCACTGGGTACGTTAACCATAACCCTACCCTAACCCACTGGGTACGTTAACCATAACCATAACCATAACCCACTGGGTACGTTAACCCTAACCATAACCCTAACCCTACCCTAACCCACTGGGTACGTTAACCATAACCCTAACCATAACCCACTGGGTACGTTAACCATAACCCTACCCAAACTTCTTCACCGGGGGGGGGGGGGGCAACACGCGTTGTACGGGCGCTGTTGTACGGGCGCTGTTGTACGGGCGCTATTCATGACACAAACTGTTCACACCCTCTTGGTGGAGAGAATTTTGCAGGTTTAAACTTATTTCCTGCAATTCTACACATTTTGTCATGGGGTGCAAAGAAAATGTTGCAGTTTTAAAAAACATTTTCTTACAATTCTATACATTTTACCAGGTCTAATGTGTGTTCATGTGATATTTGAGTGACCAAAAAATTACAACAATATCTATGGGCTAAAAAAATCATTAAAAAAAAAATGTTAGCTGACATGGGCTAGTTGATCTGGACATTTCTGACCAGTTATAAATATCTCTCTAAGGTCTGTAATGACTGACATGACAAGACGAACTGATGATGCACGACCCAATATAGAAATGGCACCTTGTGCATTCTACTAGTACAACTTTCAACAGTAAGTTTAAATCCGGGCTGAGTTACTTAAAACATTTTAAAAAATATGGGAGAATTACGGCCCTAACCCACTGGGTACGTTAACTTCTAAAAGTCTAAGCCGTTGGGGGTAGGGTACTAAGCTAACATATGGAATTGTTTTAAGATGGTCATACCATGGATCATTTAGTTATTTGATTTAGAATTTTAGGACGCCTTTAGGTATAATAAAAATATCTACTTTTTTTACAAATAAAATATTAAGTCTAGCATTTACTACTATAGCCGTAGAAACACATTGAATAGCACAGTTATAAATCGCAAAAAAATAAATCATAAGGAACAATGTTTTGAATTGTCTGTCGTATGTCTAGGCTCAGGACATAAACGTTTGGACATACTCAGTCCAGGGGGTTTTCTTTATTTGTAAAAAAAATAATTTACATTGTAGAATAATAGTTAAGACATAAAAATCTATGAAATAACACATATGGAATCATGTAGTAACCAAAAAAGTGTTAAACAAATCATAATATATTTTTTATTTGAGGTTCTTCAAATAGCCACCCTTTGCCTTGATGACAGCTTTGCACACTCTTGGCATTCTCTCAACCAGCTTCATGAGGTAGTCACCTGGAATACATTTCAATTAACAGGTGTGCCTTCTTAAAAGTGAATTTGTGGAATTTCTTTCCTTCTTAATGCGTTTGAGCCAATCAGTTGTGTTGTGACAAGGTAGGGGGTGTATACAGAAGATAGCCCTATTTGGTAAAAGACCAAGTCCATATTATGGCAAGAACAGCTCAAATAAGCAAAGAGAAACGACAGTCCATCATTACTTTAAGACATGAAGGTCAGTCAATCCGGAACATTTCAAGAACTTTGAAAGTTTCTTCAAGTGCAGTTGCAAAAACCATCAAGCACTGGTTCTCAACTGGCTCTCATAATGACCGCCACAGGAAAGGAAGACCCAGAGTTACCTCTGCTGCAGAGGATAAGTTCATTACAGTTACCAGCCTCAGAAATTGCTTCACAGAGTTCAAGTCAGACACATCTCAACATCCACTGTTCAGAGGGGACTGTGTGAATCAGGCCTTCATGGTCGATTTTGCTGCAAAGAAACCACTACTAAAGGACACCAATAAGAAGAAGAGACCTGCTTGGGCCAAAAAACACGAGCAATGGACATTAGAAAGGTGGAAATGTGTCCTTTGGTCAGGAGTCCAAATTTGAGATTTTTGGTTCGACCGCCGTGTCTTTGTGAGACGCAGAGTAGGTGAACGGATGATCTCTGCATGTGTAGTTCACACCATAAAGCATGGAGGAGGAGGAGGTGTTATGGTGTGGGGGTACTTTGCTGGTGACACTGTCTGTGATTTTATTTAGAATTCAAATCACACTTAACCAGAATGGCTACCACAGCATTCTGCAGCGATACGCCATCCCATCTGGTTTGGGCTTAGTGGGACTATCATTTGTTTTTCAACAGGACAATGACCCAACACACCTCCAGGCTGTGTAAGGGCTATTTGACCAAGAAGGAGAGTGATGGAGTGCTGCATCAGATGACCTGGCCTCCACAATTCCCCCGACATCAACCCAATTGAGATGGTTTGGGATGAGTCGGACGGCAGAGTGAAGGAAAAGCAGCCAAAAATTGCTCAGCATATGTGGGAAATCCTTCAAGATTGTTGATAAAGCATTCCAGGTGAAGCTGGTTGAGAGAATACCAAGAGTGTGCAAAACTGTCATCAAGGCAAAGGGTGGCTATTTGAAGAATCTGAAATATAAAATATATTTTGATTTAACACTTTTTTGGTTACTACATGATTCCTTATGTGTTATTTCATAGATTTGAGGTCTTCACTATTATTCTACAATGTAAAAAAAAATAGTAAAAATAGAGAAAGCCTTGAATGAGTGTGTGTGTATATACAGTGGGGAGAACAAGTATTTGATACACTGCCGATTTTGCAGGTTTTCCTACTTACAAAGCATGTAGAGGTCTGTAATCTTTATCATAGGTACACTTCAACTGTGAGAGACGGAATCTAAAACAAAAATCCAGAAAATCACATTGTATGATTTTTAAGTAATTAATTTGCTTTTTAATGCATGACATACAGTGGGGCAAAAAAGTATTTAGTCAGCCACTATTTGTGCAAGTTCTCCCACTTAAAAAGATGAGAGAGGCCTGTAATTTTCATCATAGGTACACGCCAACTATGAAAGACAAATTGAGAAAAAAAATTCCAGAAAATCACATTGTAGGATTTTTTATGAATTTATTTGCAAATTATGGTGGAAAATAAGTATTTGGTCACCTACAAAGAAGCAAGATTTCTGGCTCTCACAGACCTGTAACTTCTTCTTTAAGAGGCTCCTCTGTCCTCCACTCGTTACCTGTATTAATGGCATCTGTTTGAACTTGTTATCAGTATAAAAGACACCTGTCCACAACCTCAAACAGTCACACTCCAAACTCCACTATGGCCAAGACCAAAGAGCTGACAAAGGACACCAGAAACAAAATTGTAGACCTGCACCAGGCTGGGAAGACTGAATCTGCAATAGGTAAGCAGCTTGGTTTGAAGAAATCAACTGTGGGAGCAATTATTAGGAAATGGAAGACATACAAGACCACTGATAATCTCCCTCGATCTGGGGCTCCACGCAAGATCTCACCCCGTAGGGTCAAAATGATCACAAGAACGGTGAGCAAAAATCCCAGAATCACACGGGGGGACCTAGTGAATGACCTGCAGAGAGCTGGGACCAAAGTAACAAAGCCTACCATCAGTAACACACTACGCCGCCAGGGACTCAAATCCTGCAGTGCCAGACGTGTCCCCCTGCTTAAGCCAGTAAATGTCCAGGCCTGTCTGAAGTTTGCTAGAGTGCATTTGGATGATCCAGAAGAGGATTGGGAGAATGTCATATGGTCAGATGAAACCAAAATATAACTTTTTGGTAAAAACTCAACTCGTCGTGTTTGGAGGACAAAGAATGCTGAGTTGCATCCAAAGAACACCATACCTACTGTGAAGTATGGGGGTGGAAACATCATGCTTTGGGGCTGTTTTTCTGCAAAGGGACCAGGACGACTGATCCGTGTAAAGGAACGAATGAATGGGGCCATGTATTGTGAGATTTTGAGTGAAAACCTCCTTCCATCAGCAAGGGCATTGAAGATGAAAAGTGGCTGGGTCTTTCAGCATGACAATGATCCCAAACACACCGCCCGGGCAATGAAGGAGTGGCTTCGTAAGAAGCATTTCAAGGTCCTGGAGTGGCCTAGCCAGTCTCCTGATCTCAACCCCATAGAAAATCTTTGGAGGGAGTTGAAAGTCTGTGTTGCCCAGCGACAGCCCCAAAACATCACTGCTCTAGAGGAGATCTGCATGGAGGAATGGGCCAAAATACCAGCAACAGTGTGTGAAAACCTTGTGAAGACTTACAGAAAACGTTTGACCTGTGTCATTGCCAACAAAGGGTATATAACAAAGTATTGAGAAACTTTTGTTATTGACCAAATACTTATTTTCCACCATAATTTGCAAATAAATTCATTAAAAATCCTATAATGTGATTTTCTGGATTTTTTTTTCTCATTTTGTCTGTCATAGGTGACGTGTACCTATGATGAAAATTACAGGCCTCTCATCTTTTTAAGTGGGAGAACTTGCACAATTGGTTGCTGACTAAATACTTTTTTTCCCCACTGTGTGTGTGTGTGTGTATATGTGTGTATATATATATATATATATATATATATATATATATATATATATATATATATATATAATATATATACATACATACATACATACATAC